TCAAATCTTTTTTATACGTTTTAACATTCACATTTTTTAATTTATGACTAAATTAACTGTATTATTATAACTATTTCAATTATTTTCTTTATTTAGTCCATTCCAACTATATGATGCTTATCAGAAGAATTAAATATCTTTTACAACCAAACTGAGTTTCATATTGTGATAAATCCTGCCAGCTAATGAGGCACACTTTAAATCTTCTGGGCAAGTGAAGCAAGAATAATTCATCTCTGGTTTTCCTGATACTCTTCCTCCAGTTTCTGGAGTTTCATCAAACAGAGCCCAGCCTGCAGCTCAGGATTTAAAGTTAAGATATAAACATTTCAGACCAGAATTAGAAAGAAATGCAAAAACTAACATTTCTTCCAATTGTCATGGCTGCACCTGAAAATGGCTTCCTCTTCCTTATTAATCTAGTTTCCTCAGCACACACCCACGCACATGCACACACAGACACACAGTTTGGCAGCTCGGTGGTGAGAAAGCCATCGAACATGTCTGAACACACACACAGGCTCCAAACACAAATGGTATTTCCTGCTTGCACACATGACCCGGTCCCTTTGGTCACTCGCCCAATTATCATATCTCTGACAGATCATGTGTCCAAACACAGATGCAGCTCCATCATCCACATGCACCTGCAGAAAGCCTCCACATCTCTGAAGTTCAGCTCTAGAGTCGGTCACTGTCTGATGAGGTGATGGCAGATCTTCCTATTGAGTTATTGTGACCCTGAATGAATCGCCGTATTAAGCAAGAATCTATTACAGAAACACACAATTGTAGTATAATGTGTTTTTCAGGAACAGAGTGCCATTTTATAGCCCACTAAAGTAACTATGTTGACTTCAGATGTAATAAAAAGCTCTGCATTTCAAATGCAGAATCAAACCAACACTCTGTATGTTTTTGATGACTGAATAACATTATAACATGATGTAAAGCTCAAAAAAGTTGTTTTCACATTATAATGAGCGACTGTGATCCTGAAAGTTTCGTCTCATTAAACATGAATCTGTGCAGAGATGTCAGCTCACAGATAAAAGCATTAAAGAATCTATTACCTAAAAAAATAACCAATTCCGTTAAAACCAACTTGATGGACACAGTTTTTGTAGGGTGGTGATGCACTACTCACATCCACTCACTGGGATCAGACACACAGCTCTGACACACCGTTAAATTTAAATCTAATCCACTGATGTGGGTGGCTTCTTCACATGCACACATACTGCCAAGGTGCTGAGGATAATGGTATAATTCCCCATTAACACCTATGTTTAAATATTGTTGAGAAGAAAAATTATTCAAATGTAAGTAAATGGAAAAAACAAATCAAACCATTAATCAATTTTCCTCACCAACTTCCTTTTATCTCAATTTCCAGCTGTTATGAACTGATGCTTTGAAACTTAATAACATAATCAGCCTGCAGTAGTTTACACTCTGGACAGTAAAAAAAACATCAGAAACAAACAAAAACAAACATTACTTACATTAACACTTAGCCACAACACCAACATGCTAATTAGCAGGAGCTAATATTCAAGAGTTAAATTGATTTTAAATTACATTGTCCTTGAAAGACTACAAACCTCAAGCACCAACTTAAGTTTGGCATCATTATTTGCATGTTCTATAATAAATATTGTATTTATGTTTATATCTGATGCATCTGTTTCAGCAGCTAAATATGCGTCTGACTTTTAGCAGAAACTCCAGTAAACCCTGTTCGTTTATTACGGGATTACTGGGCTGATAGCTATGAAAACACTGGGAAAGGAAAAACATGTCACAGATGTAGGAAGATCTCTGCTAAGTAGCACAGGTGAGTCCCAACAGAAACATCATTAAGTACATCAGGACACCATAGGAGACATAATTACCAGGCAGCTTTAATGAAGCCACTCAAGCAGATGAAGGTTCAGTGTCTGTATGAGGAAACCAGCAGCACTGGGGTTGGATTTTAAATCAGAACTGACCCCGGGTCAGTGAGGAAAAATCCACTTATTACAGATTCAGTCAGAGAAAACCTGAGCAGGCGGAAAAAGAAACAGGTTTTTATTTCCAAGCAAGTAGTTCCCAAAAGTCCAAACCTGTTCTGACTCAGATTGGATCTGGATTTCTTTCTTATCACTTTAATAACATTGAATGAAAATAATTCCCCGGATTTACCCTGAGCGTAGCTTGGTGTTGTTTTCTGTATGTAACCAACGAACTGGAGGTGGCATCCGACGTGGCAGTGGCTGTTTTCAGCACTTTGCATCTTTTTTTGGCATAAGTTCCATTTCTGAGCTGTCAGCTTGTCATGATACAGCATCAGTTTTCAGTCAGAGGCTTCTTCAGATTGGTTGTAAGCCTGACTGCTACAGGAAATCCTTCCCACAGCATCACTACTCAAAACGACTATTTGAAAGATGCTTGGATGATTTCAGTTACAATATTTAGTTTCCCTTTTGGATCAGAAACCTTTTTTTGTTTAAATCCTAAAATTTAGAGAAAGTAGTGGAGGCACCATGATGATGGAAATTAAAAGAAAGAAGGGAGGAAAATATTTGATTCAGTTAATATATTCATTGCATTATTCAGCGACGTATTAATAAAATTGTATCACCCTCGCTGACAAAAACTAAATTATTCCTTTTGGTGAAATGTGATTTGTCTAAAAGTTTTCCATCAGTGTCTAAAATCATCTTAATACAAAATGATAGAATGTTAATCTTAAGTTGTTATGTGGCTAAAAAAGATCAAATGTGTCAATTAAACGGAAATCAGACTAAAAAGCACATAATATGTCCTGGGAAATATAATAAGGCGCAATGTCTGGAACAGAAAACATCTGAAAAAAACAAACTTAACAGAAATTTCTGATTTGTTAAAGGAACGACCCTAACAACTAATAAAAAGAATTATAAGCAAACCACAAGCAGACCAAGAGGAACAATAAGATATTTGGTTCTGAAGAAATAAAGAGCAAAGACGTTTGCAATTATATCCACGAAAAGACGAAGTTGGATTTTTCTTCTGTCCTTTGATTAGATAATTGACAGACCAGCACATGATCGCCACAGTAAAAGGCTGCAGTAAAAACTGCAATTATAATAATACATTACATCAGACACTAATAATCGAAATCTGCCGGAATCTCATTTCCTTCAGAAAACAACATGTAAGCCTCATCTGGACCATTTTCCTCTGCTAACTTGCACCATGTCAGCAAATGTGTTTAAGTTTATTCTGCAGAACCGGTCCAGAAAATCAGTTTGCTATAAAGCTGGGGCTTCCTTCTTTTTCTAAGCTGCAGAGCATAAAAACTGCAGCTCCGTCAAAATTCACCACATGTTTAAACTGCAACCAAACTGCAGGAAGGTTAGCAACTGTTCCTCTGCGCCTGCGGACCAATGAGGAGGCAGCATTCAGAGGAGGAGGTGGAGGAAAGTCACAGGACCTCAGAGCTGGAGGCCTGGATCCACAAGTTCTTCAGGGCAGCTTTCTCCCTGGACTCCATCTTCTCTTTAGCTTACTGAAATCTTTCAGTTATTCACCAGAGATGTGCTTCAAACACAGAGCAAAAGCCTCTGCTTCTTTTTAAATTTAGCAACATGAGAAAGCCCTGTAAACCAGCAGCATGTGACGCTGGAATGAAGATCTGCAAACCTTCAGACGCTGAACACATCATGCATGTTGGGAAACAAACAATCACTGTAGTGCCGAATAAATACGTTCACACACAATAAACTGTTCTGTCACAACATAGAAACGGGTTTCGATGTTTTTGTTGGGTTTGAACTGATAAATTGGCCCCAATTTCCTTCATTTGAACAGAGAATCTGTTCTCATGAAAAACATCAAAAATAATCGGGTCTATGTTGAACAATTCAACCACTGTTGCAATTAGGGCCGATCCTAACAACTAGTACAGTAATTAATTATTCTGTTGATTCATCAGGTGAAAAAATTGGCACATTCTGCAGATTTTTTATTTCCCTAGTTAAGCCTTTCAATACAATATTTAAATTGCATTAAGAGATGCAGACAAACAATGAAACTCCTTTTTATAAAGTAAACATTTTATAGCCTTAAATGCAAATACAGCATTACTTTAGTTTACATTTGATCATTTGTAGCAAATGATGAATCTGCTGCTAAAACTATTTCTGACATCAACATATGAATAGCTTGGCCATTTCTACTGGACTTATTATTATTATTAGTTGATTGGTAATTGGATAGCAAAAGGTGCCTAAAATGAGGTTGTTATTTTTTTTTTCAAAGAATTTGAACCAGATGAAGCTAAAACTTTCCCTTCATGTCAGAACATATTTACAGATGAAAGGTTTCTTTTTCATCTTAATGCCATATATATACATTTTGATACAGTTTTGGCTCTTTTACTGCTTCAATTGTATTTCTCTCTCAGAAAATAGCATTTTTTGACTCTGTATTCTTCAGTTAAGAATTAATCAAATACTAAATAAGAAACTGCCCCAATAAACTGTATTAAAACTTGTGGTTGCAAATTTATTAAAAGTGGGAAAATTCATGTGGCATGAATACTTTTGTAAGCCACTGAACATTTCATCCACCAAGTCGAGAAAAGAGAGAACAGAAAAGGAAGAAAGCTCTGCAGAAAGACAGCCGTTGAAATTGCAAAACCAAACAGTTTGCAGTAGTAAAAAACTGGAGTTTTAGCACAGCAGTGACAACACCCTGCTGCCTCCAGCAGCTGATCCCCCCACTGAGCTTTCTCTGGGGTTTATCGATCAAACCAACTGCATTTCTGCATATCCACACCTGAGCATGTGCCGCTCACAGCTCCGTGGATCTGGGTCGGTTTGAGCAGGTTGATACAGATGGACCTGCAGATTCACTGAACACGCTACTGTACATTTTACATTCACAGGTTAAAAAAAACCAGAAGGAAACGAAGTGGGAAAGGACGGATGAGGGGAACCTTTACAGTTAGTGGACCGTGATTATAAAGGACTTACTTCATTTGTTTGACGATGGTGCTTTTCCCTGACTCTCCAGCCCCTGAGGGAGAAAGACAGAAGAAATCAGTGTAAACAGTGTGTGTGTGTGTGTGTGTGTGACAGACAGAGGGGAGGTAGAGGAGGGAGTGGGAGGAACAGAGAAAGAAATGGGAGCTTGAGCTGAGCAGCAGGGGGTGCAGATAAAAAGGATGGAGAAAGTGGGTGCACCTTTTCTCCTCGTTTTCTTCCTCCACCCTCCATCTTGTGACTTAGTTTGACAAACAGATTAAATCCTTAAAGGTTGCACTCCCAAAAAAGAATCAATGATGAGCAAACACTGCTGCTGGGCCTGCTGCTGCTGCAACCTGCCATTTTTCATCTGCAGCTCTCACCTCTCTGTTGCTTTTTGGAACATTTCACCACCTGCCACACCTTTTCCATTATTTAACCCCCCTCATTTATTAAATGTGACTAAAAAAATGCGCTTGCATTTTATTTTAAAAAATGACAATTCATGACGCCCATGTTTTCAATTCTCATTTTTCTCCTTATTTCTGAGGCGTCGTGTTTTTGCTGTAATGTGACTCCCCGGTTCCGTCCATCACCGCCACACCTTCCGCCGCCCAGGCTGGCCCGCCCTCTCCCCGGCCCCCGGGGCCTCCGGGCCCCGCTCCCCGGGTCCCCGACCCCCGCTCCCCGGCCTTACCGAGCAGCAGCAGTTTGACATCTTTGGCCGCAGTCAGCCCGTCCTCCTTCAGGTTCTTCTCGATGGCTTTGCTCCGGTCCAGAGCCGCCCTCTCCTCTGCGCTCAGCGTACATCCCATGGTTAGAGAACACAGCTTGATGGCGTTACCGGTACCAGGATTCACGCAACGAAAACGCACCAGACCAGCGGGTTTATATCAGAGAGGAGGGGGAAATCAAATTTGACTGCAGATCCTTTGAACTGTGAATATTTCCACCTTTTCTGCACTCTGCCTTCGATCCCCTGGTTCTCTCTGGGCAGATCCCTCTCTCTCTCTCAAGCCGGGCTCAGACGCTCCGTTAGCGCATTAAATCGGCGATCCTGTCGCTGTGATCCAGAAGAAAGAAAGGAGCACGGTGGAGCCACCGCAGCTGGCTTCGGGTCCGTTTTCGTGGCGTTCTCGTGACGGTGGAAACCTCCGTCCCTTCGGGTCTCCTCGGCGCTGGTTCGGCTGGTTACTGGGCGGTGGTGGGCTGCGCTCGCATCGCTTGGTGCTTCTTCCTGCGGCTGGCGCACAGCGGACCGTTTCCTCCGTTCGGCTCCTCCGGGGCGCGCTGCGGGGACTCGCTCTGCGGGGACTCGCTCTGTAGCTCTGCTGCCTCCCGGTAGATCCGGTAAGGGCTCGATCTCTCCTCCGTTAGTTCCTTCGTTCACTTGCGGCTTGCTGACGTCACAGCAGTAACAGTCAGGGCGTCCAGCCGCTCCCAGTGGCGCGGCCTGGTGGTGCGAAGTGAAACAGGTGCATCTAACTAAATTAGAGCGGCACAGAAATGTTAATGTATTTATGTAAATAAATGTTCTTTTGCATCAACAATTCAGTTAAAAAGTGAAACATTTTGTGGATTTGTCTGTTTTTGTCTTTTAGCAAAACCATGAAATTCAGTTTTTCTAACATAAACATGACAAGATGAATTGAAATAGATTTTTTTTTCCTGAAGAATATGTGACTTAGACTTTCCTATACGGCTGAGTTGACAGATGGCCAACAAACAGCAAGTTAGCCACAAAAGGTCACTCATGGAAAGTTTAGTGGAAGGAAAAAGCCTGCTATATAAAGGGATGACTGAAGTCTTGACCAATTGTGAAATTGAAATAAAGCACATTTAGGAGTTTGGGAAAGATTTGCAAACTATGACTGTTCTCTTTTTATTTCAAACTAAATGTAACTTTTTATTTGGAAAATTAAGAGGCTCAGAATGTGAGAGAGTGAGATTTCAGCCACCAGTCCAAAGTCATCATTTTGATGTTTATGGTTTTCAGCTAATGTAAACCAAAAATCAGAACATAAAATTAGACCAAACGTAGAACAAATTTTGCTGTCAAATGTTACACTAAGTTACACTAAGCAGAAGGCTGCGCTTCCATTACAAATGTGTGCTAAACTTTGTGGATTTTCCGCTACTGTTGAAAAAAAAACAACACCATTTTACAGTTGCAGTGTTTTGTTTTAACAACAAATACAATTTGTTTACGATCATGTCACAGCTTCCTCCTGATACTTGATGCACAAGGAAATGATGAAACAGTGGGACTGCAATGACTGCAGGAACATCCAGCCGACCCTCTTATCAGCTATGGCTCAATAATCAAGTCATCTACTTGAAATCATTTGCTTCCAATGAGTCCAACCGAATCTTAGTCATTCTTTCAGCTTCAATTTTTTAAAGGCAACCATGCAAGTGATTCACCAGCAGAGACAAAGGTTTATAAATAATCAGTTCTAAGAAAAGCAAAAACTGATAAACTATTAATGGAGTTAAAAATAGCTCCGGTCCTCAGCTCGCCTGAATAAAAATGCTTTCAGAAATCCTTTAATGGATGATTAACTGTCATCAAGGTCACCTTCACAAACGCTTTTCTGCTGTAGTTTTTGCCTGCAACGCAAACAAAGATTTTAGATTTTCACTTTGAACTCATAATAGCAACTCTATACATTTAATTGAAATATTTTTGTGCTAACAGGACAAAAAAAAAAACTTCCTCTAAAACAAAGATCATTACTTGAGCGAAAAACTGAAGAATTGTTTCACAAGATATATATAAAGGATTTCAAAACATAAAAGAACAGGAAGTGGCTGAAAGTCTTGAACTGTGTTGAAAATAAAGACACTCATGTCAAAATATTTTTTTTTCTCAAAAAAGGGAATGTTCTGTGTTTTCCCACCAACAGCAAGCAGCTTTACATCCATAAAAGCATTCAGCATAACTCACTGTACAAAAAAATAGCCCATTTTCACACAGTCACGGAAAATGAACGTTTTTGCATTAAAACTTAATAAACATGAAGATCTAAAACAAAACAAATGAGGCCAAAATTAAGTTTGTGTGTGTGAATCCTACATCCTTGCAGTTCCTGCAGGATTTAAGTATAAAAGTATCAATCAGTTGATGCTAATCAAAGGCCTTTTTTAACTGATCACCATTAATGTCTCTATAAAAGCAGCCATTCTGGTTCCGTAAGAGGAATGTGTTAACATCATGCTACAGTCGAAAGTCCAAGCTGTGCTCCTCATCTGAGAATGAAGCAGTTTTCAGCATTCAGAAACACGACTCAGAGTCACAAGTAGAAACATTTAAAGCTGATTAACAAATACGTTTTGTTAATCAAGTTTCAAGTTCAGGTTTAATTCTACAGCATATTTCAACAATAAGGCAAAGTGTCTCAGATCATTAAAACAAAGTCATAGAACAGTTGCTGACTCCAACACAGTCAGGAATTGAAGCTTTACATTTTGTCAAGAGTCCATTGTTACACTTCAGAATATATGTATGTATTGATTAAAACTGTCACTATGCCATGACAGAATAAAATGAGACAAATAATCATTGAAAGAACCCAGTTCCTCTTCTTTCTCTGTGTAGTCCTACTGCCATTTGCAGAAAAGCACAGCTTGTTCAGAAACAACCAATCAGAGCCAGGAGGAGGCGGGTCTTGGCACTGTCAATCATGGCATGGATGCTCAGGTTTGTTAGCATGGTTATCGATGATGGTGTATAAACAGTTTTTATGTAACGGTAAGTTGTTTCCATGGTATTTGGACATTGAGTGGCGCATACCAGAACAGATTGACAGCACTAAGAACTTCCTCCTGTCTCTGACTGGTTACTTTTCACCAGGAGTTTTCTATTTCTCCAGATGGCAGTAGGACCACAAGGAGTTTGATTTTTTTTCACAGCAAATTCACCCCCCGGTCAGAGTGTGCAATGTTAAAGTTCATATCAGGACAATTAGAAAAAAGACTCACTAAGTGTGGCTGTTTAGAACAGTAGAGAATATGGTTTTAGGTGTCTGGGCCTACATCTGAAGGAAGTTGCTTCATGATGCACTGCACCATGTCAGCAAAAAGCAAGCGCAGCAGATCAGCACAAACTGCTCACATCAACTTTCAGGTACAATGGGGGAGGTGCTGTGCAACCACAAGACCTGGGCACCTCGCAGTCACAGAGGGGACCATGAAGTCCTGGCATACTGAACTGCTGGAAAGACAAACGTGAAAAGATCGGACTGCGAGGCCCAAACTGGGTCACCAAGGCAAACAGGCAGCGCTGCAAAGTGGAGGAAAACTCCAATTATTACTGCAATATGAACAATTACTTCAAACTACTTACTACTGAATTTTGGGAAGTACTTATTTTTCAGATTCGAACAGTTTACTTTCTGGTTTGGTTTCCTCTTCGTGTAAATGTGGGCAGTGTGGAATCTGCTGTGTGTTTTTGTAGCCTTGACATTAGATTGTTCCAACTTTATAATCCAGCAAAGAACAGAGATTCATAAAACCCTAGGAGGTTAGTGAACTTTTCTTTTATCAACTCTAGTTGAAGAGATCAATATCCAATAAAATGTTATCTATAATAGAATAAACCCAATTTAGACAATAGTCAGTTTAGCAAGTCATCAGGAAATGTTAAACTTCAAGAAAATATACATTTTAACAGTGTAAGTGATCATTAATTTACAAATTTTAATGTATAAAGTGAACCTGTTTGAAGGACATGTACTTAGAAACATGAGGCTAGCATAAAGTTTGTTTCGATTTTCTGTTAGCTGTGAACTCTCTCAGCAGACTGCGGTTTCTGTTATCGAAGCAACACAATACACACACACACACACACACACACACACAGACGCACGCAAAGAGCGAGAGAGAGACAGACACAAAACAGTGATGTGATGCAAGACTTTGTGGGAAAGTGTAAGAACTAGAAGATTGCCTCAAACTGCGTGAGGTGGGACCCACTGACTGGCAGCGAGGAACTGAGGAAGCTGAAACCAAATTCTGCAACACAACACATGTGAAATATGCGCTGACAGCAGTTTCTTCTTTCACTTCACTCTGTTCAGGCTTGAAGAGTGGGCCACAAAATTGTTCTTAGACAATGACATTTTAGTCTGCTCAGTTCTGCCTTTTTTGAGCTCCTTTCAGATTGACTTGTTTTAGGCCCTTGTCACTTTAAATCCAAATGAGATGCTGTTGGCCACACCCCCAGCTCAACATTTACACTCAGATGCACAATTACACAACTTAGCTTCCGTCTGCAGATTGCCATTTAGCTCTATTTGCGCTAACAGTTAAACAGGAAGTTGTCCCTTTCAAATAAAAGCATCAAAACGTCAACAGGAAATTTGTCATCTTTCAAACCTAACTTAACGCACCAAAAGCGAAACCCTGTGGTATCAGATGTTAGTTTACTAAATAAGAAGTGAAATAATCTGCCGGTGAAACTATTAATATTGAGAAATTATTTACATAAAAAGTTACATGAAAGTTAATTTTGCCTCATTTCGAGTGCATTCAGATATTTGATCTAGAAACTAGATCAGTCATACTTGATAATATTTTTGGTGTAACAATAAATACTTGTCTAAACTTCTTAAATTTAACACAATAACTTTGTGGCAATATGTCAAAACATTGCGATGAACTGGTTTTAAGTTAGTCAATTATTTGAATTTCTTTCTTAGACCGGAACCCAGTTCTCCATTATTATTGTTATTTTATTTATTTTTTTATTATTATTATTATTATTATTATTATTATTATTATTATTATATTTATTATTATTATTATTATTATTATCGTCACAGTTCTGATTACAGACACTCTCAGTGAGTGCCTGTTGGAGACATCCTAAAGGAAGCAGATCCAAGTGGAAAACCATTTGGACCAACCCATCGTTATAATCTGCATCAGAGGAAAGCCTCAGGCTCCCTCTGTTTTGAAACCCAGATGTTGGCAACTAACAAACATTTATAAATCTGGTTGGATAATCAAATAATTAGGTGCAGATATTAAATACAGGTTTCTGTAGGAAAGCTGCATTTTCTTTGTCTGAAATGAAAAACTCATCTGACTGAAATTAAGATTTTAATGAACAACTTGTCATAACACAAAATCTTCCATTTTATAATAATGTCAGACTTTATCAGAGTGAAATAAATGAATCCACCCTCACCTTACAAAGTGAAAAAGCAGTGGGTTTTTTCTAAGATATTTATCAACACCTACTTGTTCTTTTCTGAGGAAGAGCTCAGAGGCTTTGTGGCTATGAAAAACACAAGAGTGTAGGAAGAGGACTAACTGAAGGTGTCAGGATGTAATTTACACTCTTCAGTCCATGGCTTTCAAAAACAAACAAGGAGAGAAGGAAAATCACCGGGAGCAAA